CTAGGGCAGAAGGAACAGGACAGAGAAAGGCTCATTGCTGTCTAAGCAGATGGCTGATTAACAGAGCAGCCAGGGAAGCAACTACAGGAAAGTATATGACACAGGATCAGAAAAGGATGGCTAGTCTCAGAAGTGCAGAACAGTTACAGACATGGTTAAGGACAAGGATGAATACTTGACTCAACATACTTGACTTTGAGGTGAGTGAAATATAATAGGCATTGGGAAATTATGATTCATAAAAATTAGTTTTTTCTTTTGCAGTGGTAGAGATTAGACCCAAACCTCATGTATGCTTGATAAGCACTCTACCACTGAGTTACATTCTAAGCCTCATAAAAATTTTTATGGAGTTTGGTGTAAGTGGTACAAGCCTGTAATTCCAATGATTTGGGAGGCTGAGGTAGGATTGGAAAGTTTGAGGCCAACTGCAGCAATTTAGTGAGGCTCTAAGCAAATTAATTTAACCCTGTCTCAAAATAAAAAAGGGCTGGGGATGTAGCTCAGTGGCAAGTGCCTCTGGGTTAAAAAAAAATTTTTTTTAAATGGTAGGGAAATAGATATATTGGGGTCATGGAAGCAAAATTCCATGTAATGCACTTCAATTCATCCCCTAATTCTATGGCCAAATCCATTCCCATATCAGCAAACAGCATTTCATCTAGCATGAACTATCATGGATGTAAATCTAAAATAATGCCTCTGGAAAGACTGAGGCTTTGGTCGATTACAACTCACTTTGTTGTTTAATGCTGCCACGGCTATTACAATCATCCATAGTGCTGCAGTTTACAATTTGGCAATTAAATGTCTCAGTGTGTGGCCACCTGAGAAATGCTTTTATAATATTATAATCCCCATTACTAAACTGTTAACCCTTAATTACTCTGCTGCATACAGTAATCCACCCCTTCCCCCAAACTTGAAGCGGGTGTTCAATGACTATCTCCAACCCTGTGCCTAAAAGTAATGCAAAATATTTGATGTGTATATTACACACACACACACACACACACACACACACACACACATATAGATGCATTATGCTAGGCCCTGTAGTAAAGATAAATACCAGACCCTGTCTCAAAATAAAAAATAAAAAGTGCTGGGGATGTAAAGTATCTTTTGTTTTTTTGGTTTTTTTTTTTTTTTTTTGTATTGATGGGGATTAAATCCAGGGCCTGGTGCATTCGAGGCAAGCACTCTACCAACTGAGTTATATCCCCAGCCTGAGGCTTCATTCTGTATATCTCTTCATTGCTTTTTAGAAGACTGCAGAGAGGAACAAAAGGTAGAGGAGGGTGAAATTCAGAAGCAGATATGTAAAGAGTAGTTTGCTAGTATAGACTGTGGTGAGGCTGTATTCTTTGGCCTCTAATCCCTTAGCAACACAGGTCATTTACATAGATATGTGATCTAACAGTAACACATTCAGGGCTCTCTGATTCACTTTCATAACTGGATATGGCAGGAATGTAGAAAGCAGGGGCAGTGAGCACTTGCATTTCAGAGGGTTATCAGACAATAATCCAGAGAAGAAAGCTAGTGTAGAAAAGCAACATCACAGCCTATCAGCAGAGAGCTAGCTGGGGGCCTTAGCAAACATCTTTTAATAGGTTATACTTAACCCATATTAAGTATAAAGTAAAGACTTGGATTTCTCTGGCCCTGAAATACTATCAAGAGCCTCATCTATGCATAACCTGAGACTCGAGCTCAATTTTCTTTCCAATTGATTCTAACACAGGAGCACTGTGTTGTGATCACTTCTTATTTTTCTGTATTCACAAATTGATAAAAAACCTGAATAAAATGGAATGTGAGTATTCTTCACTGCCAGGAAAATGAGTATTCTTCATTGCTGTCCATACCTGCATCTTAATATACTTACTGGTATGCAGTTGAGTATTTAAATTAATTTAAAAAACCGTATGTCTGGATAAAGACTGGAGAAATTATTTGCTTTCCAATAATTAAGTTGAGGACAAGGCTGAGGATGTGGCTCAGTGGTAAGGTGCATGCTTTGCATGCTCAAGGATCTGGGTTTGATCCCCAATGCCAGAGGGGGAGAAAAGTTGACGTCATCAAGTGGAAGAATAATGTGGGTTATTTCCTCTCTATCTCTAGACTGAATTTAACCAAAACAGAAAAGCATTCAAGAATGTCATTTTCCTTAAAACAACTGGCTTAAGAAAACAAGATTCATTTTCTTCAATTGAAAATAAAAGACTTTCATTATTCATCTCTCCCCTTCTACCCTCCTAGGAAATCTCCCTGGTTCTATTGTGCTTGTACCAAAGTGAAGCTAAAGCAGATTAACCGTAAGTGCATTTCTCCAATAATTTGGGGTTACATTCTCAGTTCCTAAACTCTAGACCTATTCTGAATAATTCCAACAGCTTCCTCAAAGCATTTCAATGGCAGCATGTGGTTGTTTCCTTAAAAGGTCAAATCTTAGCGCGGCTCAGGGGCACATGCCTTTAATTCAAGGGACTTATAGATCGTCGGCAGGAGGATCTCAAATTGAGATCAGCTTCAACAACTTAGTGGGACCCTAAGCAAGCATAGCAAGACCCTGTCTCAAAATAAAAAATAAAAAGTGCTGGGGATGTAAAGTATCTCTTTATCCAATCCCCAATTCCTAAGTAAAGAGGAAAAATGGAAACAAACAAACAACAACAACAAATGAAAATGAAAGGCTCATACTTTGGGACAATATTGAAAAATTACATTGGGCTGGAGATTAGCTAAAATGAATGTGACCAGACTAAAAATTGCTTTGAAGACAGTGAAGTCAAGAAATTTTCTGAAATTTATGTTTATAAATCCCTTTTTGTTGACAAAAAGGAAGTCATATGGGTCAACATTTCAGCTTCCCCAAGGTCTCTGTCAACAAAGAGCCTCTAAAGATTCTTTTGCTGAAATATATCCAAAGAAGCATACAGTGCCAAGTGGTCTCTTTCTCTGTAAAATAAAAAGTGGTACCCCACTTGCATTTTCTTTTTTGTTTAGCAGCCTCTATCGGGCACCTGACCAACTTTCTAAGATCTTTCTTATAGAATATCCAAAGTAAAACCATGTCACTCACTTTACTTCTATTTTAAATTGTAGGGCAATTATAAAGGTTTTCTAGATGTTTAGAAAAATAAATATGGCCCACCAGTGAGCAACAGAATATCTTCTTTATGATTGGGCCAGGATATAAGTGGCACATGCCTGTAATCCCAGTGACTTGGAAACTGAGGCAAGAGGATCACAAGTTCAAGGAAAGCCTGTGCAATTTATTGAGACTCTGATTCAAAATAAAAAAGGGCTGGGGATGCAGCTCAGTGGTAGAGCACTTGCCTAGTATGTGCAAGGTCCTGGGTTCAATCTCTAGTACCACAAACAAAACAAACAAATCCACAAACAAAAACTCCCCAAACTATCAGTCCAAGGAGTTCCACTCCATAGGGATGGGTGCTTGGACACCTGGTCAGGCTACTCCAGTGCAGAGGTACTGTCAACCTCTGGCAGAGGTGTGGATCACTCTGTATTCTACAGAGCACATTTTCGTTATTCTTTGCAGTCAACCAGGATTAGTAAATTATTTTTAGAATGTGTGCGCACTTTAGAATCACTTTTGGATATCTTTATTTTTTTAAATTTTTTTTAGTTGTAGTTGGACACAATATCTTTATTTTATTTATTTATTTTTATGTAGTGCTGAGGATGGAACCTAGCTCCTCGCACATGCTAGGTGAGTACTCTACTGCTCAGCCCCAGCCCCATCACCTGGATATCTTTAGAACTCCAAAGTCTAGTCATGCCTTATAATAACTGAATGTGGGACACATGTATTACTAGTTTTTGAAGCTCTCCGAGTGATTTAAAATATACAGATAAATTTGGGAACACAAAAATTCACCCACAAATTTAAATAGATGGAACCCAGGTGTTACCCCAGGATGAGTAAGGGTACATGCGCTTTATCTCAGCACCAGTAAGCAGAGGCAAGCTGTGGTTGTCCTGGGTCTAGACCTCTTTTCATAGCCCATATAGCTTCCTGAGTCACTGGGATTACTGATGTGCAACACCACACCTTGCTATGCTTTGTTATTTTTCTTGTTTTGTTACATCTGCTTGCTGAAATCTCTCTAGAGCAGCAGTTCTCTAAATATGATAAATATATCCCCCACAGGGTTGAGGTTGACATGTGCACTAAAGATGTAAAAGCAATGAATAAAACTTATACCAAGAATCAAGACAGTGACACCATATGGTAAGGTATGGTAAGTGGGAAGTACACGTAAAGCACTTCAGCTATTTGTGAAGTATGATGGTTATATGAAAGAAAAGTACTTGTGTGACTGCTGCAAAGTGAAGTAGCGATTATCTAGACATGGGTGAGCCTGTCACTTCAAGGAAAAAAATTCATAGTATTCATTGCCAACATAAAACTGTTAAGTTTTATTTTTCACTTTTGTTACTGGGGATTAAACTTGGGGTGCTTACCACTGAGCCACACACTTTATTAAATTTGAACAAGCTCTATTTTGTATAGCAACTGCCAGTGTGAACTTTATTCTCCTTCACCAAATTGTATACAATCAAATGTTTAGAGTTAAAAATCATATTTTAAGATAATCTGTAACTTACTAAGAACTATAATTACAACAGAAATTCTTTAATGATGAACTCTGATATAATACTGCTCTTACACAGGTGCCTTTGGGCACAGTGGTTATCTTGAATCTTGGGAATTTGTGAACAAAAGGGATGATAAAACCATAATGCACATCTTCCATACACACCCTGCCGCCCACATCCAGTGGCTGGAGCTTCTCAGCATTCAGTCCTCAGCATTGTTCTTACTCTACACTCGCCTCTGGGTGATTTCCTCCACATACAACCTTGTATATTCCCACTCTCTGTTGCAGATTCATATATGGATATTTCCTGCTAAGGCTTTTCTTGTTAATATATTTTTGAGTTTTAATAAAGATTACTCAAGAACTTACCAACCCATAGGTCCCATTGTTTCTGCTCTAGTTTTCCCACGCTTTGCCTCCTTTAGCAGTTCTTCTATTGCTTTCCTGATGGGAAAGAGGAAGAAATTTGAGATGCACTCACTCCACTAAGTTATGAAAATCAACTCATTTCTCATGTATGGGAAAGAAACTGACTTTTAAAGCATAATTGCTGGGGGAATACTTTTTCTTTTTTAGTGGTGAGCAGTTTTGAATACAAAATGAAAAAGAACCCTTTTATATGAAGTGAAAAATACTAAAAAGAAAATGAGAATAAAATAACAAATTGGAAAAAGTATTTGTAATATTAGACAATTCAATTATTTATCCTTAACATAAGAATTTTTTCTTTTTGCTACTGGGGATTTAACCCAGGGGGGCACTTTACCTTTGAGCTATATCCCCAGGCTGTTTTTAAATTTTTAGATAGGGTCTGGTTAAGTTAATGAAGTTCTCACTAAGTTGCATGTATCCTATATTTAAAATGTTTAAATTCACTATTATTTAAGGATCTCCAATGAACCATATAATGATTAATGTTTCTGCTCATTAGTTAGTGAGGGAGTAGATAAATGAGTACTCTTTTCTCTATTAGTGGTAACAGAATATTTTTGGAGAACAATTTGACCACATGATAAAGAGCCTTAAGAATACTACATACCTGTTGATCTAAAATTCCACTTTATCTTAAAAAAATATTCAAGTAAGTATGAAAACTATATGTATAAGGATACTCATTAAATACCTTGTTGACAAATAAAGAACAGAAAACTTAAATATTTACTAATAAAAGATTGGTTAAATAAACCACAGAACTGCCACATTTGGAGAAGATTAGGCAGTCAATAAAATAAACGTGAAGGAATAACTGACACAGAAACACATTCCTAAGACTATAGACATTCCTATAATGACATTCCTTTATATATACTTAATATATAAAGCTGGTTACAAAAGTTACGAATAGAATAATCTTATTTTAAACATATTTAAATGATAAGAAAACATTTGGAGGAACATTGTTAAGATTACCTTGGGGTGATTTTTTGTTATTTGCTTCTCTGTATTTTGTTTTTTCTACAATTAATATGTATTATTATGTATAACTTATACATAATAATTTAATATGTATAATTTTAAAGAGATTAAAATTAACTCCAGAAAACATACTTACTAACCATATTCTGAGATTTAACTGTGTGTAAGATACTGTGCTATGAGTAGCAACACAGGAAGATAATCCCTACCTTAAATATTATTATGATATGTAAATAATAAAGTTAAGATAAAGAGGTATGAAGTTGGAAACAATATAGTTCAGAAACAGAACTATAAATCTAATCAGAGTTTTAAAACTGAATAATTTATATAGATTCTATATTAAAACATTTAATTATACTGTATAGTATTACTGCATACTACGTACATAATCCTGATGTGATATGAGTATTTTGTTAGTTTATACTAATTTTTATCTTATCAAAGTAAAACATGCATATAACTTAAAAAAGACAAACATTTCAAACATTTAAAAGACAACAATAAAAGATAGCAGTCTTCTACTTCATCCTTCCCTACTCACCCCACCAATTTTTTTCTTTTAAAATATATTTCTCCTGCTATTTACCTCCATATTCCTAATACTATGCTTTTAAACTATTCACCATCCTTTTAATAAAACACATCTGCTTCTTTTTGTATAACTCACATTAAAAAAAATTCTTATTAGTACTGACATCTTTTAAAAAAGGTCTTTTCAGTTAATTCAGCAACTCAACAGTTTATGATCTCTCCTGGGAAGGCCACTTCCTGGGTCACTGAGGAACTGAAGCACTTGCTTATCTACCAACATGTACATCTTCTTACCCTGAACTTGCTCAATCAGATAGAGTTTCACAGCCCAATCTTAGGATATCACAAATAAGAAGTCATCTGATTATTCTCCTCCTTCCAGCTCTTTAAAATAATACAGCCTACTGATACGATCTGGCAACTTTGTCTATTATAATTGCTTATGAAAATCTATCTGATCTAGCTTAAAAAGAGAGATCCTTAGAGGGTACAACTATTCTAAAGACAATTCTCCACTTCCCATTCACTAGTGTGGTAGTTTCTAATAAAAACGGATCATCAATCATTCTTAGCTCCATCCATATGCTCTTGTCATTACCACAGAAATGGTCAAAAATCTTCACTGGAAAAAAATAATTTGAGAAGTTCCCTGTTTATGAACAATATATATAAATTACAATAAACTGGAATGCATTTTCTAATAAAAGCTGTGTGCCTGGCTTTCTTGTACAGACTGCAAAAGCTTATTTGAGTCAGAATAAAGTTGAAATGCAGTACACCACAGAAAGAGTCTTACAGAAACCTTGAAGGCATGTTCTGGGTTCATTTAAGAATTCTGATTCTTCTTAATTTCAGTTTCACTTAAGACAATCTCCAGCACGGTTATTAACTTTACCTGGTATGATTAAGGGTGCCTTTTGATTTATAAATACAAAGAGAAAAGAAGGTGTATGTATGAGAAAGACTGCCTGAGGTGAAAGAAATTCAGGGATGAAAGATCATGCAAGGAAGGGCAAGGAATGGGACAGGTATTTAGTCAGCTGGTCGTCTCACTGATAAAGATGGCTTAGTTGCAGTCCATAACAGAGGCTGGATGCAGGGTATCACTCCTGTGGTTGTACTGTTAGGTGTCTTTAACTGGTTTAACAACTGATGTGGATATAGAGCTTTCAGTTTACAAAATGCTTTCCTATCTGAATATGGTGATGTAGGAATTACCACCAGCTTACAGATGAGGAAAATGATATTCAGAAACATTGACTACTTTGCCCAAAGTAGCACTGCTAATGATGAGTGAGGAGGAGGAGGAGGAACAAAGCAAATGAAACTCCATCCAGGTTTTGGTCTGTGTATCCTCTGATCTTTCATTAAATTATCTCCTCCACAGACATTTGTGCAGCAAATCCTAGAGAAATTTTCTCTTTATCATTAAGAGGCAAAAAATTAAAAAAAATAAATAAAGAAAAGCTGTCACTTCTTCTATGTATAAAGAAAGTAGGAACAGGCCAATACTAGAGAGGCGGAAGGAATGAAAGAGGATTGCTCATTATTTTATCCTAAGAATGTTGAGCATTCCCTACTTCCCACCCGAAATTCTCCAGCATAAACTTCTGCAGGGCCTTTCTTCCAAATGGGAGAATAACATTTCTCACAATTATGTATTCTGACCTTGAAACATCATCACCTTCCAAACTAAGGGGGAAAAAAATCAGGTAGTTTTTCTACTGCTATGGCCTCTGGAACTCTTGCTAATGAATTCCTGAGTGAGGATATAGTAAATCTTGTTTCTACTGCTCATAATTCAGAGGCTAACCACAGGAATTATCAAAGATCATAGAACATCAATGTATGTGGAGCAAGACAGTTTTTACTGAGATGTTGAAATAAAAGTGTAAGCTGCAGTTAAAATATGGGAAAGAAACAGAAGAATATATAAGAACTAAATATAGAACTTAAACAATTAAAAAACTACTGAGACATAAATTCTCCGAACACTCATTTTTATACTTACTTTAAATATCTTAGAAATTTCTTTGTAAAACAAACCCATTATATTAGAATATTAAGTTCCACAAAATGAAGACCCAGTAGAGCTGGGTCTCCCAAACTAGTATAGCAGTTTTCTGGGCACGGAAACAAACTATAAGGACTGTCTATGCATTCCATCAGCCAGCTGGTACATGCTTAAGGAATGTCAACTGATCATAATAACAGCTTAAATAAAAAGCCAAGTGGGAATGCAAATCTGGTGCAAAATCATCTTAAAATCCAAAGTCAAACAAATTAGTTTTGAGTTATCTGGGTCTGTGTTTCCTTTTATTCACACAAATCAACTGAGAGCTATAACTATTCTAGTCTCTAGAAAGGATACCAAGAAATTGAAGGCAATTAAAATGAAGCACCAAAAATGGAAAGGCAAATTAAATAAACAATTTAGGAAAATGAAAAGTTTAAAAGAATAAATTCAGGAGTCAAATCTTAAGTGACTGCTTAAAAATGAGGGGGCGGGGTGAATAAGCAAGGGTAAAGGAAAGCTAGGAACATAAGGATGATCATGAGAAGCTCTCCTTGTTTTGTGCCTCTATCAGTCTTTAAAAAGTCACCTTGGCTGGCTGAGGTGGTGTAAGCCTGTATTTGTGGCTACTTGAGAGGCTGAGCCAGGAGGATGACAAGTTGAAAGACAGCTTGGACAACTTAGTGAGACCGTGTTTCAAAAATAAAAAAGGTAGGAGATGTATCTCAGTGGTAGAGTATCCCTGGGTTCCATCTCTAGCACTACCTCCCCCTAAAAAAGGTCTCCTTTGAACAACTAACTGTATAGTATCTGTCACATGACAGAAAAACAGGTTCAAATAAAATCTGTTCACACAAGTATGACTTGGTGACAAGAACACAGACTTCTTAGAAAACTGGTAGAAACCAGCATCATTTGCTGTTTACTGGGAAGTCCTCTGACAAGCCCTGTTCATTATCAATGATGATGGTAACCAGTTATTAACAATCAAACTACTGGGTAGAATATAAGAGAAATTTTGCTATAGCAACCTATATTTCTTCCTATAATGCAGCGATAAGATTTGAAGAGAAAAATGGAATAATCTACTTGATCTTTAGTAAGGATTTAATGTCAAACCACAGAACATTCTGATTAAAAAATGTGGGCAGATGATCGGATCACTGCTGGACATCTGCAAACAGCTGCCTATAGGCTCATAAGGAACCAGCAGTAACTAGTGGTTTAGCAATCATGCAAATCTGTAGAAACCATAGGACAAAGTCTGGATTCTGTGTGACTTACTATTTTGATTATTACATAGACAAATTCAGGATATTCTTATTTAATTTCAGTAAAACAGTCAATTAGGGTCACCTACCATCACCAAAGAAAGGCAAAAAATTTTAAATTGTAGATAAGGTTTTTGAAGACAAGGTAGATAGGAACATTAGAGTCATTTGGTAAGTTAAAAGATTTATTCATAGATATAAGATGGAGG